AGTGTGTGCCAAGGAGGGGAAACAGCTTTCTGAATGCTCTGCAGGCCAGGGGCTGGGTGGCGGGCGAGGGCCTGGAGTGGGGTACGTGCAGCAGGGCCAGGGGCTGGGTGGCGGGCGAGGGCCTGGAGGGGGGACGTGCAGCAGGCCAGGGGCTGGGTGGCGGGCGAGGGCCTGGAGTGGGGTGGGTGTGGGGCAGTCTGGGGCGGAAGGAGCTCATGTTCTGTGCTGGGCTGCCGTGCTGGGCGGGCGTGCTGGGCTGCCGTGCTGGGCTGCCATGCTGGGCGGGCGTGTTGGGCGGGGCTGGCTCTCTGTGGCCTGGCTGCAGAGTGATTTATGGGCCATACATCACCTTCCTGCTGGCTTTGTTGACACCTTGTCACATTCTTGCTTGAGCTTGAGGAATTCATTGTTCTTGTTTGAACTGATAAGAAAAAAAAGAAAAAGAAGAAGAAAGAAAGAAAAAAAAAAAAGATTTTCTCTCTGAGACCTTGGGAGAAGCTGAGGGGGTGGAATGCTGGCTGAGGCTCCCCAGCCAGGTGGGGGCCGTCACAGGTGGGGGGTCCCCATCAGGTGCTGCAGGCAGAAGCTGTGTGTGCCCTGGGAGCTGAGCTGGTGCTGTGAAGGGCAAGGGTGAAAAAGGAGGGGCTGGTTTTTTCCTGAGTAGGAGATAGAAGGGCTGAGAGGAGATTCCTATGGAAGGTGGACTGACCCCGGTCACTGGGAGGACCTTTGATGTGAGCCAGTCTCTTCCAAGGTCTTCCTGCTGCATGGCCTGCTGGCTGGCTCCCGCCACCTGACCTCTCCCCTTTCATGTGCAGTGCCCCACAAGTCGCTTAGGATTCTGGCAGACTGTACACACAGGCTGGCATGGGAGTTGAGTACTTTGAAGACAGCAAAAAAGTTTTGGAATGAGAATCCATCAAGCCACTGTTGGAAAGTCTGTGTGATGTGTACAGAGGATGTTGGCGCTCACTTCAGCACAGCAGTGGTGCCTGCTTTTTAGATCTCTGGTATCTTTGCTGCAAAAAACAATACAACAGAACCTGTAAGCTGACCCCCCAAAGGACTGTACCAAGCTGGTCAGCACACAGAGGTGGTCACCATAAGGACCTAGGCCTGGTGCACTACTGGTCTGTGAAAATTAAGTCAACTTGAGGGGATGTCCCTGTAGGGAGGAGGCAGCTATGGAGTTAATAATAAATGGATTAAACTCATTTTTACCCAAGAGAAGTAACTGGTGAGATCACATGTTCCAGGTCATGCGATTGCAAATGCTTACACTTCCTATTGTGAAAATATGTTCCTTTGGGAGCAGCCAGGCACCAACGTGCTCCATCCCCTAATACTGTCTGTCATCATGCTGCTGTTGTTTGGATGCAGAAGAACCTACTTGCACCGCAGCCAAAGGTGTGAAGTGTCTGGGGAGTGTTCACACTTGTGTGTTATGCTGTTAACAGGTTCATGTGAGATGTCATAGTCACCTCACCTGAACTGCCATTCACAGGTACCCACTGAGAACCTGGTCCTGAACTGGAGCCATAGAAAACTGTCTTCAAACTCCTTAAAATGGTTCTTTGCAGTCGTGTGCAAACTAGAATGCATGTGTACAAACTCCTTGTACAACACCTGATTTTCCAAGGCATCCCTGTGAACAAGGCACAATGCCTGACTGCCAAGGGCTGCAGCTGGAGAGAGATTCGAGGGCTGCCGCTGCTGACGCTCAGCGCAGGTGAAGGGGCCAGTGGCGTGCGTCGGGACAGCTGAAAACACGTGGGGGGCAGGCAGCACAGGTGAAACAAGAAACTCCACTTGGAAAGCACACGTTTTCTTTTTTGTCATCTACCTTGCTCATATTTTGACTAAGATTTAAACATCTAAATATATGCAGTGCTGTGAATACTGGCATCAAACTTTTAACACATACTCGTTTTTATTTTTAATCCTAAAACCCAGTTTCCCCAGTTTCTTTGTGAGTGATGAGCGTGCCGGTTCTGCCTCTGCCTTTCTCCTAGCTGCGGACCTACCCTGCTTTCCAGAACTGGATTTACTGACAGTGTTTCACTGCTCTCTGCTGGAGAAGCCCACAGCCAGGCCAGGCGTGAGGGCTCTCCTCACTGGCGAGGAGTGCAGGTGAGATGGCTCAGCCGGTAAACTCCCGGCTTCTGAGATGAGACTCAACACAAGGCTGATCCATGCAGTTTGTAGACCGAGGCTCACAAGTCAGGCTGGACAGGCAGAAGTGGGTTTCTCAGAGAGGAGTGTGGGTGAGGTGAAAGCATCACACTGCCGAAACCCCAGTTTCTTACTTCAAATCTTGTCTTCTCCAAAGGCAGCCTGTGTATGGTGCCTGGGGACAGTGCCATTTCTCACCTCCATTTTCATCCTTTCAGTTTTGATACCTTAAAAATACAAACTTTATTCTGATACGTGGCATCTGAAACAAAACCCTCCACCCCCTAGAAGAAAGAAAAGAAAGAAAGCTCTTTTGCCCAAACTATATTAAGTTTGAAACAAACTATATATAGGGTTTTCTTCCAAAACTTCATCTTACTGTGTACCTGGCTGGAGGACAGAGATCAGGGGTAGTTACCAAGTAAGCAGAAGGTGTGGTAGGACTTTTTTTCCCAAAACTTTCCTAGGCGAGATGAATATTAATTTACATCTTCATTTGCATTAATACAAAAATGTACTGCTGTACTTCTCAAGTTTAAAACAAAAGCACAAGTGCAAAAACAGTGAACGCTTCAGGCAAGTGTTGTTTTAAACATTCAGAGAGAGTGAACCTGCTCAGATTCGCACGCATGTACGTGGGTCCACACGTGTTACACGTGCATGTATTTTGGTGGGAACAGGTAGCAAAGGCATGAGCATAACACATTTCCAAAGAGTTATATGTCCTCTTCAGTCTGGCATCTTTTAACTTAAAAACAGCTAGATGCAAAAAAGCCATCCTTACAAGAGCAGGGAAGTGCCATTCTATTCTACAGCATTCCAAGTGAATTATTGCTGTGCTGTCAAAGAAAACAAAAACATTTGGGAAGGACTGTTTATTTTACAGTGGTTGACCAAAAGTATGTAAGTGGTTGTAAAAAAATGTAGACAGCTAATGATGGGAGGAGCCACTGGCACGTTCTGAAATCCATTCACAAACCTTTGACACGAACCCTTGATTGTTGGAGATGATATTAGAAGCAAAAACATTTTCCATGGGGAAAATCCCGCCGCCCTGAAAGAAGTTCAGTTCAAAGCAAATAAATGAAGCCTCTGCCCTGCCGCCACCCTGCAGCCCTGGCAGCTCCTCCCTCACGGAGCTGATTGGCAAGACGTGTTTTCCAAGAAGAGCAAGGAAACTTTGCAGACTGTTCCCCCCTCAGAGGTTACGGCAGTGAGGTATTTTTAAGCTGTGAAGCATGTGTTGCTCTTTGTACTTACAGATTAAATTAAAAACTGTCAACAATGTTCATCGATTTTTTTTTTTTGCATTAAACATAAATTTCATATTAGAGCAAGATGGGACATTAGAGGCCCTAGCCTAGTCCTTGTGTGTTAAAGATAATAAAATGTGTAGTTGGAGAAGATAAACGACTAGCCTGAGGTCACATAGCCAGGCAGCGGAAGGACCAGAGTTAGAAACAGAAGCTCCAGTTTGCTTTGCCTGAGACTCAGAGCACAGGCAGGACCTCACTGGTGCCTCCTGGTGCATGTCGATTTAACCTTTAGGATTTCTTGCTGGTAAAGTCATCCTTGTCCTAGGAATCTAGGTCTTGGAGTATAGGTTTCTTTTACTTTTTTTTTTTTTTTTAATTCTGCTGGTAAGTCAGGATCCATTTAACCTTCTGGTAATCGTCAGCTGTACTTCTGAGAAATGGGAATAATCACTACCTGCCCTTCACCATCTCCACGAGGTGGGAGATGTGGAAAGCTCCTCGGTGTAGCTGGCCCAGTTCTGTCACGTGAAACCACTCAGCAGGCGTTGACGGAAAGTTTGCCTGCAGGGATGGGCTTCGTGGTTCTGTCGGTGCCACTGCTCTTGCTCTCCGAGGGCGTTGGAGTTTCAGGGAGTCAGCACATGGGAGGTGTTATGGTGGCCAAGGGGCTTGGTAGTTCATGCCATTTCCATGTGTCAGCTGCTGTGGACACCTGACTGTCCCAAAGCTTCGCCCCCACGGTGGAGAATTGGGGGGGAACGCCTTGCATCTGCGTCTCAGGGTCTCTGAGGTTTGTGCCGTGTTGACCCCAGAGACTCTTGTCCTTGGACAGTGCTGCTGTCTGTGTCTCCAGACTGAAGCAGCGTCCAGTTTTCTCAGATGTAGCATCTGCCTTCCTCCCACACCCGTGGGTTAGTCATGTGCCTGCTGGCCAGGATACATAAATAAGAATTGGCTAAAACCCTAAAAGGATTATGAGGCAATCTCGCTTAATAGCAGCAGAACAAAACAAAACAAAAAACCACTCCAGCAAACCCTCCCATGTGCTACCAAGTAGTGGGAAGATCCAGTTACCACTGCAGCTGTCCTGGCCCAAGTGCTGCCCTCGACTCGGAGGGAGGGAAGGGTGTGACCGCCAGAGAGGACGGACTGCCACCGAGCTTCCCTCACTGGCCTGCTGCTCCCAGAGCCACCTCGCCTGTGCGGGTGTGACTGTCATGTCCCCACCCTTGAGCTGCACCTTCCCCTGTGACCACTGGTGGCCCAAGGGAGCCCCTGGCAGGTACCCAAGCAGCGTCTGTGCTGCAGGAGGCTGGAGGGCTGGATGGTGCGGCTCTGGCCTGGGGTGTGCTACTGACGGTCTCCATCGCCTGTCCCTGCATGGCTGACGGATGGCCTGGCATTCTATGGCCATTGTCTGTCACCAGTGCCATCCACACTGCCTGGAGTGGCAGGTGTGGAAACCCCTGAGGCTGAGCTGCCAAGAGCACCCTTGGTCAGGAATAACCCTGGGCTGGTCTTTCTGCTGTTTCTGGGCTTTTGCCAATTGGCCGCTGCCAGCCCCTTCTGTCCCTGCTGACAGCCTGGAGCTGAGGGACACAGAGGGGCTTTGGCCATGCCACCAGGGCTGTGCCTGTGATGTGTCTGGTAGGTCCAGCATGACCACAGAACAGGTAGAGCCAGGGAGGCCGCCTGGGTGGCTGCCCGAGTGGCAGAGCTGGACACACAGAGGCAGGCCGCTGGGTTGGGCTGGATGGGACTAACAAAATAGCTGTGTTCTCTCAAAGCTGGGGCATTGGAGTCAGATAACACGTGGCATATCTGGGCACAGACCCGGTCGGGAGCATCCCCTGGGGCCTGCAGGTAGGTGCCTTACCCCCTGCTTCCCATCCGTAAGCCAGGCTGAGGGCTGCAACTCCCAACATGGTTGCGGCTGTGGACAGTGCTGGGCACAGCACTGGCCACTGGCAAGCCCCCAAGAAATGTAGGCTGCTTGTTGGAACCAGAACTTGAGGTGTCAAGGAAACAGCAGGATAGGGACTTGCTTATAAATACGTCATCTGTTAGGGAAACATTTTCTAAAGTAGGGCTGCTTTTCACAAGAACAGGAGAGAATACTTGAAGTAGGGTCAGACTGAAGATACGATTTTATTCAGTTTTGATATTGAAATGTCTGGTCACGTGGCAGACGCTCCTCCCCCTTGGAGGAGGAGTCCAGCTGGGACCAAGAGGAAGCAGGGAAGGTGGCCAATGCCCTGCCCAGGCCTTCTCAGTCCCTGCTGTAGAGCTGCACCTGAACCTTCCCATAGACGGTACAGATGTTCGGCTTCAGGGTTATTTCTGATGGAAAATACTTTCTAAAAGGCTGAAGGATTGTTGTAGAGGTGAAAGAAGAGAGGAGAGGATGAAAAATACCATTTTGGGGAAAACACTGAGATAAAGGATTCTGCTTCCTTAGGGCTCGGTAGTGAGGCAGTAAGGAATTAGTTTTATAACACTTACTCCAGAAGTTCTTAGCACCCTGTTCTTCACTAACTACTTGTGAATCACTCAGTAAAGAGAGGAACAACAATGACCATCTATTGAGGCCTTACTGGATGTCAGGGATTGTGCAAAGTCCACCTTAATTTCCACGCAGGCTTCTGAAATTAAACATCCTTGTGTGAAGAGGAAAGTGGGATTGTCCAGTCATGGAGCTTGTCCCGCTCTATGCCCTCAGCACTGCACCCTGCCTGCTGACCCTTAGGTCCCCAGAGCCTACCCTGAGTTCAGGTGAATCTAGGTCATTCCATTCTGTGCCCTCAG